GGGGGACGCTAGTGCGTAAACACGGGTAATTCCCGGGCGATTCCGAATGGTGACCGCGAGTCCCCCTTACTGCTGCTCTTATAGAGTACAGGAACAATAGTCATAATTAAAGAACAAAAGCAGTGTGAAAAGGATTATGGTCTAGAGACAGGGGTAAAACGTCATCTCGCTTCAGGCTTATTCTTTATCCAAAAGTTCAAAATATAAAATTGTCACCGAAACACAAAAAATGTAAATACAGAAAATGGACATGCACATATAATAAATATTCATCGACATTTTTATTATTACCATTGGTTACTTTATTTCCTTCATTTTTTTAATCTTAGGTTTACATTTTCCACCCTTTGTATTTTTTACTTCGTTCCTCGAGCCTGCGTTACTAATGGTCAGCTCACTTTTTACTGACAACAAGGCACGCAGGCTCAGAACGAGATTTACAATGATGCGTACGATACCAATCCCCGGGTCCTGCCGGGACAATTAACATTTAGTATACATATGCTTTAACTACATCTCTTTATTTCCCCCCCTAGTTGGCTAGGCTATGATACAACATTATTTCCTAATATTTCCACTTTAATCACAAAATAAAATTTTCTGAAAAACCTTTCGACGGGAAAAAACGTTTTTGTCCATTTAAAGGTATATTCTCATCATGCTTCAAATTAATTATTTATGTCCCTTTTTCCCCAAGAGTAGCCACTTTGAAAGGTAACCAATCCTGTGGCATGGCACAGAGTGATTGGGAACTAGTTTTACCCAAATTTTCATGTCGAACGTCTTGGGGTCATTCAAAATGACTTTAGAACGACTCTTAACTAACGCACTGCCACATCATTGAATGAATTGGTTCTACTAGTCTTGTTATACATTTTAACTTATTATATTTTCTTAGTATTGTAAAGCGTCTAGAGCAATTATTGATATAGATGCTATATAAATAAAGTTTATCATCATCATCATTATCATTATTATTATTATCATTATAATTATACAGCTTCTCATTAATCCCATATAGGTAACTGTCCAATTATTTTCTTAATTGGACAGGTCTGTTGATATGGGATTAAGTAGGCAGCTATATAATTAATAGGTAATGGGATTTTATGCTTCCCAATCAAGAAATAATTAGACTCGAAAAATTCCTCTGACTGCCAAATTGGACTCGGCCTATGGCCTCATCCAATTTTGTCAGTCCTCGGAATTTTCCTCGTCCAATTATTTCTTAATTGGACAGCATGGAGTCCTATTACATATACTTATTAAATTCCTATTAACTCGATTGGTATACGTACGTTAAACCATAAATACGACATCATATTATATAACATATCTTTTGCATTATGAAAAATAAATTATCTAATTTTAGAATAATTCCTTAATTACCAGTCTTATCCTCTGCTTACCATTTACTCTTAAAGTGTATATGACACGAAAAAAATTTTAATGTTAAGAATGTGTAGTTTATTGGCATTAATAAGAATATCACGGTTAAATTTGTTCCAAAAACGTATTTCTCTAGAAATTCAAAAAATTTTAGCACGAGTTGTGACGTCATTTTGTTTACAAGTCTCCAGATTTAGTTGCAAATACACGAAATATGTTTGAATGTAGAATCTTAATTTCAAGTAGTACACTTTTCAATTTCCCAACATTGGAAGAGTACAACGTAAGCTATCAAATGAAGCTGACTAAAATATGTCTTTTGTTGTTAATTTATATGAATTACAATTTATATTTAGGACATTACTACTGAATCTAGAGTACGTGTCAACAAAATGACGTCACAAATTGGGATTAACTTTCGCAAATATCTCAAGAAATAAGTTTTTGAAACAAATTTTGTTACGATATATTTATTATTACTAACAAACTATACATTTTAAATGATGGAATGTTTTCGTGTCATATACACTTTAAATACTCTTATTTTTACCCCATTACCCTGGTTTAGCATTTGTATACATCTTATATTTTTTCTTTCTTAGGTTTAAATATGTTTTAAATATATCTTTATAGTTTTTCTTGTCACGTGACCGCAGCCATAATGGAGATGGCTGGCCCGCACTCACGATTGGAATACGATGGTATTCCTGCAATTCTTGGGCGTAAAAACCCAACAAAATTTTTCTAGCTATCCCTTAAACAAGTATTCTCATTTGTTTTATTTTTAATTAAAATCAAAAATCGTTCTCTTGGCCAAAGTTTGTAAATAATGGCGTTTTTCTTTGTTCGAGCACTAAGTCGGCACTTCTATCAGGCCTTTGAAAAAAAATTTTTTTCCCAGAGATTTAAAATTAATGCTGTTTTTCCTTTATTCCAATTCTCCTGAAGTTTTCTATCAAAATAAGACTATTCATTAGTCATTAGCAGAATTGCTAAATCAGACGGATGCCCCAAGCTATGTTTAGTGGAAGGTTTTTTCTGTACGCACGAAAACCGAGTATCTTTAGTTTTTCGAACTCTAATATGAGGGTTTCGATGGGGATCGAGTCCAGATGTCAGTTAAAATTTCGCTTATTTGTCAGTTAAATTTAATGGCATTTGTCAGTTGTCAAGAAAATTCCGATCCAGACCTTCTAATTAGGAAAAACCTTTGTGCTGTTTGAGTCAGGACTCGTTCGAAGTCTGCTCAGTTTTATATCTCCTATGGTTTCTATCTTTTCCATAAAATATTTCGTGTTTTTACAGGAAAGGTGAAGACACATTGTCATGACAGCTGTCGACTAAACTAACAATGTCTTGGTTCTAATAGAGGTCCCCTAAAAGCGAAATCTTACATGGAATTAAAGAAAGAAATAATACTAATGACAATGGAAATTTGTGCCTCCCTCGGATACTATGTATTTTGAATTCGACACCAAGATTTTCGTTTTTGATCTGAGAAGCTTTGAAAATGAATTCCGAATAAGAAATCTTAGCACAATAAGCTTTTTTTTTGCCATTAGATTTTTTTGCTGTTGCTTTTTTTCGATATATCATGCAAATTCCGTCCACGAAGTTCAGCTTTGGAGATCCACCTAAATTGGTTTAAAAGGACTCTGAGGTGCCAGACACATCATAGCTTAAAATGTACATCAAACCTTGTTGATTTTGAAAATCGAAATGAAAATTCCATGAAATGCGTTTTT